TTTCTTTCTTTCTTTCTTTCTTTCTTTCTTTCTTTCTTTCTTTCTTTCTTTCTTTCTTTCTTTTCTTTGGTTACAGGAGAATACTATAACTTTTCTTAAAGAAGTGAATGCTCAGAAGGACAAACAAATTAAAATGAGTTTTTCTCCTCTCCCCAGCAGCATCTCCACCAACAGCTTGTGGCTTTAACTCTTCTGCAACCACCATTATTTTCCCTTTATGGAATATCTTTTTTTTTTTGCATTTGTCAGTTAGACATATCTTTTGTCTCTTCAATGTGAAGGATAAGAAATTAACTTACACTAACTTCCTTGTCCCCTTCACGTTCAACATTCCAATTTGTGTTTAAATACTTCTTTTCAGATTTTACAATGGTTGCCTTTAGGATGAGGAGTTTCTGCATGCACTGTATTGACTTCTACTATCATACAACAATTCCTAACAGAGATTTGGAAAAACTTGAGTGCCAGGCACAGTGGCCCATGACTGTAGTCAACCCCAGCTACTTGGGTGGCTGAGGTAGAGGATCACTTCAGCCCAGGAGTTCAAGGTTAGCCTGGCAAAGTAACAAACAGCTGTCTCTCAGAGACAGAGAGAAAGAGAGAGAGAGAGAGAGGGACCCTGCTTTTATAAAACTTATAGTTTGGTCAGATGTAGAAATAAACATTAGTTGATTAATCCAATGAGAGTAAAACTACCACTTTATGTAGCTATTTGAAGAAAGGGTGGGTAAAAAGTAGTGTAAGAATGTCCAGTCCTGTGAGTCTGTGACCTAGTGAATGAAAACATTCAAACTGAGTTCTGAAGGTTTAGTAGGAGCTAACTAGGCACAGAGGTCAACATAGATGGGTCTGGCTGAAGACAGACCATATGTGAAGGCCAATAGTAGAAGGGAGATGGTGAAGTTGGATGGTGGTGGTACACACCCATAATCCCAGCAATTTAGGAAGCTGAGTCAGGAAGAACACAAGTTCAAGGCTAGCCTGGGCAACTTAGTGAGATCCTTATTTTTATTTATTTTTTGGAGAAGATGGGTATCAGGAATTGAACTCAGGGGCACTCAACCACTGAGCCACATCCCCAGCCCTTTTTTATATTTTATTTAGAGCAGGATCTTATTGAGTTGCTTAGGACCTTGCTATGTTGCTGAGGCTGGCTTCGAACTTGCAATCCTCCTGCCTCAGACTTCCTAGCCACTGGGATTACAGACATATGCCACAGCGCCCAGCCTATTTATTTATTTTTAAAAATATCTTTACTAGTTGTTGATGGACCTTTATTTTATTTACTTAGTTATGTGTGGTGCTGAGAATCAAACCCAG